TGTATTCGCAGACTTCCGGACGTATGCAAGAATGAGGAAAGCTCTCCATAAGCTTCTGTACACGAAGTGCTGACCACCAGGTATGGCCACTCTATACTTTCTTAATTGATTTCATGGTCGACGAGAAACTGAGATAAACGCTAGAAGGTTTTCAAAATTCATGTGTTCAAATAGATGCCGAGAAGGACTTCGTCGTTCTGGACTATGCAGACGACGTACTTTTCGTCTTCAACTAGACAGAAAAGGCACGGGTATTTTAGATGAACTGACCAAAGTTATACTTCTCTTTCACATAGGCTTCGCACGCACGAAGTGTGGGATTATGCTCGTGAACACTAAAAATGCATTTGGAATCCAAAGGAGACACTCCAATTTGTGGTGCGTTTTACCTATATTGGCAGTGGTATCTGTTGCGACTGTAGCTTGACAGATGAGGTCAGTGCACGAATCTCCAAGGCTCGGGTCACGTTTGCCAAATTGAGACACCTTTGGCGTCAAAGCGGTATATCTCTGAAGCTCAATGGACGTATGTATCAGCCTACGGTGTGAGCTGTTTTGTTGCAAGGCTGTGAGACTTGGACTTCCCTGACAGTGGAACCAAGAATTCAAGTCTTCAACAACTGTTCTCTTATGTGGGTTGGTGACGGCTAATTTGTAAAGAGGCAGTTAGAAAGCGAATGTTCGGCTGAGAAAGACTTCCACTGAAGAATGTGTCTAACAACAGGAGCTGCGTTGGCTAGGCCGTGTATTGAGATGCCACTCGCTGAAGACGGTACTGCTTTCCATGCCCGCGTCTGGACGATGGAAGCAGCTGGTTGGTCAACCTTTGATCTGGTAGAGGGGTATGAAGGAGATTACGGAAAGTCTAGGTGCTGTCGGTGCAACTCACCTTCCAGCATTGTGTCGCATAAATTCCACTGAGCCTAGTTGGAGACGCTGCAAGATATGGCCGCTAATGACGTTCTTGTACCAGATTCTATCCAGATTACCCGAACGAGTGTCTGTAGGTGTGGGTACCTCGGAATGTTTGTTGTTAGCTACCACTAAGTCCCCTCTATGCCAACTTTTATTCTTTTCTTCACAATAAGACTTCCAAGCAAAGCATGGCAGCAAAGCATCAGTCTTGAACATTCATGTTACGCTGTCAATGTTAATGGTATTGATCGCACTGCGCTGCACGATGGACCACTGTGTTTATCGATTGTAGTGTGAGTTATTCCAGCGCACATGCACCTAATCACATTCATTAGGTGTTCATAATCACTGGTAAATGTGCTGACAGCATTCAGAAGATTTGTGTCTTTAATGGCCCCAGAGACAGATGATAAAAACAGTAGATGGTTTTAACCAATCAATTTGCACAAAACCAGTCTTCTTTTCAGCTCAAAGTAAGGGCTATAGCTGTAGTATTCTGACCGCAAATCAGCTTTTGACAGCTGAACTCTCTTAATGTGCTTCATCTATGCACATGTATCTTTTATGTCTGAACACATACTCTACGGCAGCTGATAAGTAACTAAGACGAATTCTACGGTACGACACTTCCAAGAGCATTTAGCTATGTTCCACCGAGTAGTGCGTTTGAACTTATCTGGAAATACTAGAAAATTTGATTTAGTGTCTTACCTAGACCAGTTAGGTTTTATTTGTTTCGCTAAGAGAACCAGTAAACATATGCTTTTATTCCATGAATTACCAACTGTTAACATCCAAATCCATTAAGTTATCACACTTCCAGTTCTACCTCAAAACTGTGCAAAAGATCCGACTCAGGAAATTCTCAGAGTGCTGTTTGAAATTTCACTTTTCTCTCCTTTCTATCAATACAGGGATTCAAACCTATCGATGTTTGCCTGACCTATTGTCTCAGTTAGCTGAGGAAGAACTGAGAAAGCTCCGTGAAAGCATCAGCACTTGCGGTCTAATCTATTTTCCGCTGGTGAGTGTGCTTTCCAGGACACCGTGCATGTTTGTGTTTGACGCGAGATAGCGATATTAAATAAGCATATTTACGGGCTCCATTTGGGATTTTCGTGACATACGGACCTTCAGCCGTCTGGCTATATCCTATGACAAGCAACGGGACCCTTTCAGGAAACAACGCAGTTTATATAATTTGGGTATGAAAATCTCATACAGCAGGCCATCACTTCCTGTAAAGAAATGGGAGGGAATTTTTGGTTCGCTGAAGTCGTTCGGTTCCTTTAAAAACTGTTTGCGCTTCGAAGCAATGAGAGCACAAACAAAGTCAGAGGACACACTGATTTTGCAGCCAGCCCACTCCTCCGAATATAATTCAACTCGGATTGTACCCATGTCATTTGCCCATGGTACATGTCCAACTACCCTTATCAAACGACCCTTTGGTGATCCTCAACGTCATCAAAGTTCTTATTCTTGGTTTCTGTGCTAGACTTTACTGCTTAAGTTGCTCCCCTTCAACCAAACCCGTTCTTGATTCTCTATGTACACGGTTTTTTACCATACGACTTTTCTGTCTATGTGATAATGATGTCCATAACGTAAGTTGGTGTACATGTAGTTAACAGTGTCAAGCCCAGGTTTACTCATGACAACAACAAGAACAGCAATTCCAATATGTGTGGGCAAATTATTTTATCTTCAAAATGACTACGTGAGCAGTAGTAATTTGATTGAATGACAGATTTTGATGAAATAGAGAAACCCCGTTTTAGAGCAACGTCTGGTTAAATTGCCTTATTCCACAAAATTCTACGGGAGGTAGATTTATTACTGTAGAATAGTAGGCTTGGAAGAATTACCGTATTCTCAATCTATACTTTTGGTTGTTTACCCATGTAGCATGTTCTCCCTATCGGCCAATACGCGTGCTTCGACATAATGCGTCCTCGGCCCGACTGCCTCAACCGTATGGCAAGTATCAGGTAACATCTAAGCCCACGGCTACCTACTTTGAGGCCCCTAACCACGAGAGTAGGCTACCGAGACTAGAACAATCAACTAGTTCATGTAATTTATGGAGGCGCGCGGATCTGTTACCCCTGTGGCTGTGACGTATGAAAAACATTCAGCGACCATATGGTCCTAAATTCTCAGGTATTTAAACAAAAATTCCATAGGTGCGTATTGGAATGTGTTACTTTTTTACATCTAACTTAGTCAACATGAGTCAGAAAGCTATCAATCTTGAAACCAGTGCTGCTTAGTGGGCTACTGGTTAATAAGACGATCAGCGTTATGTAGATCTTGTAACACACTTTCGCAGAGTGCACCCACTCGAGTAGTTCGACTAGAGTATGGTGCTAACTAGCAATGATCTATCAATTATGGTCGTGCCTTCTAATCACCAACATCCTTCAAACTGTGTCGACTTTGTCTTTCCGGAAATCTTAAAATGAAGGAAGCTGCAAATATATTTATATGCCATATGACATATTTGTATTTCCGAACAGCATGACTGCACTTCAAAGTGTTCATCTCATCTTCCAAGGTTAGGTTTCTGTGAGTGACTTGAATTCCCATTATTTTAGAGGATAGTTTCACTGACAAACACTCACTCTCGGATTAGCTGAAACCAGGTGTGATTGTTACCATTTGCACGAATGCTGTATTTCTCAGGCTTCTGCTATCCGCCAGCGCTCTCTGTCATACTCTGGGTTCCTCATTATTCGGCTTTTGGGTGATCTGCGCCCGTCATCATAGTCTTATTGCTGTCTGAAGCTACTGATGACAGAAGTAGATTGGTTCAAGTTACAACATGGGGAATCTGGTGGGTAATTCTGAAAACCACTCCTCTGAGATTTGACAGTCGATCTTATATTACCAGCTAGTGGCATTTCGGAGTGTGTCCGCGTATCCCTTCCGGTGATCTATACGATGTTCACAGAGAGTGACTCACTTGACAATGACAAGTAATCGATCAGATGCGAAAATTCAGGAAGAACAAAGAAAGACTACCTTCGCGCCGCTTGATCTCAACCGCACTCGTCTTGAGGACAAAGCTAGTTTGGAGGAGCGGTGGGTTTGGATTATTCCATGAAGCAGTATTCTATTTTCTGTTCATCAGCAGTATACCCCAAGAAGGGCAGACTCAAAAGGATGGCTCATTTCCTACAGTTGCAGAGATTGGCTGGGAATGAGAAAAATTGTCAGACTGCCCACTCTAGAGGGAAATTTCTCGATCTCAAGTCATGTGGTGCACGTAATATTTCCCACCTTCATGTCATGGAGTTGATTTGATCTTCATATCATGGCGAAATCCAAACTGAAAAAGTGTGTGAACAGTGTGTGTGAACAGTGCATGTTTTCTGGCTGTTCGCCTCCCTTTGGTTGGACCCATCTAACTTTTATGCGACTTTTATGCCTTAGAAGTCAGAAAAGTCTCCCCTTAAGAGTGGTTAAAAAGCCAAGAAGTTCCTGAACATCTATATCATCTACTGAAGTCACATCATTTCACCTATATGCCGCCTTTAAAGGTCGGAGGTCGTAATAAGGACTGATTGTCACAAAGAGACTGGTGTGACGGTTTGCGAACCTTAGAGATCCATTGAGCTATACTGGAGAGTGTCCCGTGACACTCACAGAGTCTCTCATACCAGGTTAGTCACTGGTTAGAGGTATGACGAAACCAGGCTTCTGGCCCTCCAGGTTGGGGGTTGGAACATGTGGCGACTTGTTCCGTAGAAATGGTAATGCATTTGCATTTACCCGCCAAACACCGCTGCCTTGCGGTTAGGCTTTTGAGCAAAAGGCTTAGGCCGAGAACCAAAATCGTCCACCTGTCTGGGTATGGGCGCCTTGGCAGTATCCCAGCCCTTGAACAGCCATGATATTCACGACTAACAATACACTTGCACCACATCGGCCGTCGCGTGGTGCCATCAGCCGAGTCGCCTTACTTGCTGGATACAGCAGGGCGGGTAAGCGAAAACAGGCTACTGCTGACGCCTCCCTTCTTTCTCCTTCACACACTTTTTCTTCCCTCTCTCCCCACCCCATTAATAACTCTCTCCTTGTAGGCCCAGCACTTAGGACTGATGACTCCGTTCGTCATGCATCGGTTTTGCGTGTAGCATCTGCTCGTCACATGGTGCCGACATCTTCAGGAATCTACAAATCAGTCCTCAAGCCTCGACGCCCAGTCTATCTGGCCGCGTTCAATGTCCGCACTCCGAAGCAAGCAGGAAAACAAGCTGCTCTTGCACTCACACTGGACTCGCTTGGCATTGATGTGTGATGTGTCTCAGAAACGAGAATTCAAGATGCAAGCACAGTGATTGAGCTGACCGCCCCGTCAGTCTCCACTCGCTTCCGGCTACGCACCTCTGGTGATCCAGAGGCTGCTGCAGTGGGATGTGCAGGGGTTGGTATTGTGCTAAGTCACC